TTCAAAGAACGATACGTTGATCTCCAGCTTTTTAAACAATTTGAAAATTTTATCAAACTCTTTCTCTTTCGTGTTCTTCTTTGCCACTCGAGATGGATACTGCAACTTGATCGCTGGTTTAGTCTTCTCTTCAACTGGCTTTATAGGTGATACCACATCTTTTTTTCTTATTCTCTCTCACTTCTAGATCTACTTCTATGATATTATCATCAGATTTTACCTCATTTTCTTTTCTTCAACAGCTTTCTCATTCCTTGTTGTGACAGCATTAACATTCTCACGATTTTTCTGATTTATCTGTTATGCAATCTGTCTCATTTAAACTTATAAATTTTTTATTGCAGATGTGGTATTATTGTGATTACTCCTTGTCTCTTTTTGAAATTGAGAGGTGTGGACAGCCATCTTTTCAATAGCCACCTCTCACTTTGCCTTCTGAGGAACTTGTTACTGTTGGTCTTTCCAGGAGAAGTTAGGATGATTCTTCCACTCAGGATTATAGGTGTTAGAATATGGATTATTTTGCTTCAAGAATTTTATCCCCTCAATTTTTTGTGGAGTTGCAAGACATTACACAGTAAGGTGTGGTCCACTACAAATTTCACAAACAACCTTCTGTACATGTTGAACCTGAGCTACCTGTTGAGTACCCATATTCATTGCATTAAGCATTTTTTCTCTACTTCTTCAATTTTCAGTTGCTTATTACTTTCTAACTTCAAATCAATTATCCCCTCTGGTTTACTCACACCCCTTTCATATAACTTCAGATGCTCATTTACAGCAATGGCTTCAATTATCTTCTTCACACCAGTGGCAATTATAAAGTTGGATGAGCCACCGATTGCTGTATCAATAAGTTGCTTTGTCTTTATTCGAAGGTCATTTACAAATATTTACATTTACTCAGTTTGACCCATGTTGTGAGTGGGACAGACTACTAATAACCTCTTGAACCTCTTATAAGCATCACCTAGCGACTCTTTTTCCTTCTGTTTAAAATTCACAATATCATATCTTTTGCGAATATAAACAGAAGCAGGAAAGCACCCATCAAGAAAAGTCTTCTCCATTTGTTCTCAAGTAGTAATACTCCCAACAGGTAATGAGTAAAACCAATCTTTAGCATCTTCAGAAAGCGCGAACGAGAACATCCTTAATTTCTTGGCTTCTTCAGAGTGCCCCTCAATCTTCAAAATAGTAATCACGGTGAAGAATATCTGCAAATGCTTATTGGCATCTTCATTGATCTTTCTGGTGAAAGATTTGTTTTCGAGCTGGCGGATGGTTGAAGGATGCAGTTGAAAATTTGGAATAGTGACTGGTTGATTCACGATAGTCAACCGATCTATTGGAGTATTTTCTCTTCCATAGTCCCCAAGAAGCCTCTCAGGTGGTGGTGGGTCTTCAGCCATTGTTTTTTCCTTTCAGACTCTAAACCTGAATGACCCATTAAATCTTCTGATTCATGTCTAACTAACCGAGCTTGTCTGCGCCTTGCGTGAAAATTTCTTTCGATTTCTGCGTCAAAAGGAAATTCAGCTGAGAGTTTTTCTCGCATACAAAGGTTAGAAAAATCAGTAATAACAAAAATATAAAAATTACATAAAAGAAATTTTAGTTACAGAGCAACAAAATTCTAATTGAACTCAAATTACACTCAATAAATTGGCAGTCTCCGACAACGGTGCCAAAAACTTGATCGTCAAAATAGCAAGCGTATTATTTTGTCAATGTAATAATAAAGGGAAATTCACTGAATTTCGATCTCAAGGATTGCGTATAATTATCGAGTTCAATTCACGTTCAATTAATTAAAAACTAAATTTGGGGTATGGTTTTGAAATTGTCACTTAACAAATAGCAGAAATATAAAATAGCTTTTTCTCAGATATGAGGAGCATGTTAGGGTAATGTGTATAATCTATCCTGTAACTATCTTGAATCCTGATCTCTTCAACAAATTCATATCCTTCAATTACCAGCCCTTTAGGTTATCTTTCCTAAGTCCTTAGTGAAAAACCTTTGAACATTCATCCTAAATCCTAAGTCCTTAGAGAATCATGATGAAATTAAGCCTTTGTTTTATCAAGAGTTAACTGATAACTATAGGGTATCACTAGTCCTAGGTGATATCTCTACTGTAGCTTAATCGTACAAAAATCTTGACAACTGCGATCCAGTTGATTGTTAAGCGTAAATCAATCATAATTGATCCGATCAGGAAAGCATGAAAATATTGCACGATTAAATTGAATAGAGAAGACTATTGCATTAAAGAAATTTAGGAATCAAAATTGTTTACAGTGTCAAATCAGGGACACTCCCTAGCATTGGGAGGTTTAACTACTCATATTGTTCAAAATAATCACAAGATAAAGATTAGACATTACAAATAATTGAATAGCTTCAATCTACAATTGCTTCCGCTCATGAGAATCTTCCTCTCTCCAAGAACCTTGATCTCCCCAATCTTCAATCGTGTCAACTATTCTTCGCTCCAAAAAAATCTCTTTTCTCTTCTTAGAAACAAACCTAAGTAGTATCAGATCATCACCTGTGTAAAATGTCCAAAGTATCCTTAATGATCTAAGACCACATCAAACTCCAAAAATCAGAATTATTATCGCGCCTTCCAACACAGGTCGTGTCAAGTGACACGAGCACCCATGTTGGTCCTCTGTATTTTTCATTTAAGTTACCAAGTATCAGGCCTGCTGACACAGGTCGTGTCAAGTGACATGGGCACCCGTGTCACAATCCTGACTTCTATTTCTAACTTCATCATGGCTATCATCCTGACACGGCCTGTGTCAGGTGACACGGATGGTCGTGCTAGGCCTCTTGATGGTGTATATTTGCATTTCTTCCGAAACTCTGAGATTTACACCGACTTGTCCCAATTAATCATTTGAACCTGAAAACAACAAACTACACAACTAACGCATAAAACATAGAAAAATGAAATAAAGCACTTGACAAAATGAAGAAACGATAAATAAAATCAATTGTAAATAAAAGTGGAAAAATCATTGATAAGAGATCCATAAGATGCATTAAGAAATTTTTTAAAAAAATTTAAAATATATATATTATTTGATTGCAAATACTAACTTTTCTTAGTTTGAAAAACTGCAATGAAAAATAAAAGCAGTATCTTAAATATTTGAGAAGAATTCGCATTTGAGAAATTAGGTTCTAGGTCTGCTATGCTTTAATAAAGAGAAATTCTGCTATGCTTCGATGTGGAAAATTGGAGTGTGAATATTGCAAGGTTTCAGAAGAAACAATGTGGGAAATGACAACAAAAGCAAACTATAGGATTTTGAAATAATAGAAGAGATGTGAATTACATTTCAACAGACCTTAAGGAAGGTGGATATAACTTTCCCAAATGAAAAACATAGATGGTGAAGTAGGTCTTTTATTACCTTTTTTTTTGCCTTAGATGACAAAGACATATCTGAATAAAGCGCCCCACGTTAAATAATAGATGACTTGAAGATGTGTTTACAAATAAGGACAATCTTCACCCTATAAATTGATTTCGTAGGAATAATTTAGACCTAACCACATTTCTTAACAATATGAAACTCATTTTTCTATGGTTGATTACACAATTTTAGGCATGATGGACTGAAATTGGTGAGAAACAGTCATATTGCTACCCAGATAATGTTTGAACTAGCACGCAACATTAACATGTATGCAAGGTGAAAATAAAATATTCTACTTAAATTTGAAAAATTATGTCAAGAATGAAACCAGCTAATTTTAAGCATTTTTCTAATATCATCAATTTCCACATGGAAACAAGACTCCTTCTGAAAATAGATTATAGTTTTCTATAACTTAGTTATTGGAAGTCATCTCCAACAAAAACAACAATCAAATTTTGTCCAACTAAGTAAGGTTGGCTACATGGATCAACTTATACCATAATGTTCTATTCAGGACCATGCTTCTATCCAAATTGTTAATCTCAATATCTTTTTAAATAATTTCTCTTATAGTTTTTTTAGGTCTTTCTCTACCTCTATTTATTTACTCATCTTTATCTGATCTACTCTCTTTACCACAGAATCTATAAGTCTTCTCTCTACATGCTCAAATCTCATAAGTCTTTTTTCCACCATTTTTTCTACTATAAGTGTTACCCCAATACTATCTAATATTGTCATTTCTAATCTTATCTTGTCTAATCTTACCACACATCTATGAAAGTCTTCTGACGAAATAAAATAGCCTTCATGTTTAACTCATGTATGCCTCTAACAGATGAGCTCTGAAAATTAAGACTAACACAAAACTGAGCATTATAAATTCAGTCAAGTACACTAGTAAATAAGAACATAACGCATATTCCGGCTTGTTTAGATCACAAACACCACATCCAACATGTGAAATTGGATATTATTCTTGAAGGTGTGGTAGGTGTGAACAACAAACAAGAAAACTGCATGGATTAGGTTTACCATTAGAACAAGAGGTAAATATGAATCTTTTCCCCTTTTTCTTTAACAAAAAAGTAGAGGTTAAAGTTAAAATTAAAGACAAAGTAAATTAAATAACAAAACACCACAGCAACTTGACATGCAGCTCAAAACATAAAAGTCAGCCTAAGTAAATTATGTGGACAGCTGTAAGCCTGTAACATATCAGTGACATAACAATTCATACAGATCAGCTCCAAGAATGAAGAAGCTCAAATGTGTATCCTACTTCTTCGAAATGCCAATAAGGATTAGTACTATACTAGTCATCTTAATAAACAAAAACCATTTCATTAGTCTGATAATGAATCCTTATACTAAGTCGTATAATAATTACAATTAAGTAAAAACTACTACATGTTTTCCTTTTTTTTTTTATAAAATCATAATCTTTCATGAATATATGATTATAAGGAATTGTTGTAAAAATATTGGTGACACAGAATAAAAATCCTGTATTATGCAGTTAGGCGTATCTCACAGGCATAGTGAAGTTACATACACTAGTTACAAGCTAGCGGTCAATATTGAGGATGCTTCTTGTTGTCTCAAGCTATCAGCCACATGAGCAATTACTCCTATACCAGCATTGTGAATCCATTCATTTTTAACCTGAAATTGAGAAGTTTTGATGTTAAAAACTCTATCAATGATACCATCGTCATCCGAGAGAACAGGTGGATACATTACATGAATGTTGTTATGAGCAAAGAAAGGCCAGAATGATGAATGGAAGCTGACATCAACTTTTCTCCATCCCAACTGTTGTAATCCTTGTATGACCTCCTCTGTTCAGAAGATAAATAATGGCTTTAGTGGAACAACAGAACAGATAATTGATAACTCTGAACAGATAATTCTTAATTCTTCAGCTACTCTAGGCATTATGTCACCTTCGATGATTTCATGATATTCAACAGTCTTCTGGGTACCAGGTGCATTTTGTGCTTCTTCCTTTGCTCTCACTGCTTCTTGAGAAAATTGAGGGCCATCAGAAGGGACTGGAGGGCAATATTCAACATCAACCACGTGCTGGTATCCATCTAAAGATTGGCGAGGAGGCTTTCAATACAATAGAAAATGTTAGTACGCTAGAAACACAAAAGCATTCTCAATTTTCTAGTTCAAACATTTTCTTGTTTTATATTAAATAATTTCTCCCCTAGTTTTTGTATGGAATCGGCTTGAAGAACACTGATGCTATCGTTATCTCCACTCCAAAAGTTAATAATTTATCTTCCTAGTTTGCGACACAGATCATGACACTGATCAACTAGGATGGCAGAATTAATACCACTAACAATATTTTAGTTGCAATTCATTGCTTTGATCCATCATTAATTTTATTTATTTATAAAGGATTTATGTACATTATTCCAGAATACCAGTAATGCAAGTATCAGCTAATACAAATACAACTTCATAACGCTACCACATGCATTCATGGACAAAGGCTTTCATTTCATGCCAACAGGTTGTGACTCTGCAGTGATAGGAGTTTCCACTTCAAATTTCAATATGTAATTATGAAGGGATGCCAAAGGTTAGGCCACTAATGAACTGGGTTAACATACTGCTAATTATAAATCCTTCTTGATAGATGAGAGAAGGTCTACCTACCTTGCTATCAAGAGAAAAGGAAAGTTATCCATCGAGATGTAAAAAATGCGGACTGTGCAGGGTTGATTGTTGACAGAAGGTCTATCTCAGGGAACTACATGGTTTTGGGAGGAAATTTGGTGACAATGAGGAGTAAAAGCATATCCTAGTTGCAAGGTGAAGTGCAAAGACAGAATTTCAAGATATGGCTCACAATGTCTAAGCCGTGTTATGGGTGAGGAATTGAAGATCAAACTTGATGACCTAAATATAAATTACGAGGATCCGATGAGGCTATTCCGTGACAATAATTTTGTCAGTAACATTGCACACAACCCAATACAACATTATAGATCCAAACACATCAAGATAGACTGACATTTGATCAAAAAGAAATTAGATAGCCATCTATTAACTATTACCTAAACCCCCTGTGGACTTAAATTGGTAAACGCCAAGGGACTTGCCACCAAGTAGTTCCGAGATCCTATGTGCAAGCTGAGAATGATTGACATCTATTCAACAGCTTGAGGGAGAGTTTGGTAAATATGGTAACTGGCACAAATTTAGGATAGAATGTTCTGTACATATTTTCAATGTATCAGTTATTATTAGGACATATTATATTCCCATTTCTTGATTATGACTTATTAGGCTTAGCCTACATAACCACATTAGTGCTAGTACTTTTCCAATTCTATAAAGAAGATTCAGTTATTCTTATTTGCCCACTGAAATCCCTCGCTCTTTTTTGCTTTTCATTTGACTTAGTAACATATTAGAATGTTAGTGGTAACCTTACAACGAGTAATTATATTACATTACAAGCTCAAGACATTAACAATGTCAGAATATACACAGCATATAACTCTAAGCATTGTAAAACTTAAATATCGGAGATCAATAGCAATTGAACAAGATAAACCAAAAGGAGAAATCATCATATTCACCTTACTGAGCTCCATTTCCCTCCTTATCGAGGATGTGCGCCATCCAACCATATCTATATTAAGTTAAAGAAATTACCAAATTGAGGAAGAGAGGACTAAAAGTTACCATTTATATACCTAGAAGGTCATAGAATAAATAAAACATACTGAGAGGATACGATCATATGAAACATTAGCATAAATAATGCGACATTTAAATGCTCCAAGTGCAGATCTACAAAAACACTAAATCTTGTAAGTAACAGATTACTTAATTGAAAAAAGAATGCAAATTGAGCACCAATTGATTCCTTTGCTTACAGAAACTTTCCATCTTCACAATCAGAAGCCATTCTCAACAGAAGAGGCGGTCTGTTGGGTTTACCATCAGTAAGGAACAACTGACTACCAGTCCGACCAACAAATAAAGGAGCCATAGGTGCAGCAAGCTTTTCTAGTATAGGGACGCCCAACAGAAATGGAAGCTGGAAAATATGCACACTACACAGTCAAAACTCTTATGTCCGGAAAATTTTCGGTGTAAATTGAGAAACATGAAGAGTTTCAACAAAGGGTCCACTCAGTGTCGTCAACATAAGATTTATCCAGTAAGATTTAAATTCTGTCAGGGTCTGTTTGTGAATAATGTAAATCCCAGTTGAACTTTCTCTCATTATTGTAATAGAGTAGTGGTATAATGTAGTGAAATAAGTGTGACTATTTCAGTAGTGGATAGAGTAGTGAAATATGTCTGTGTTCTATTATTGCTGAGCTGGCAGCTTGTTTGTCACAGTTTGTTAGACTTGCTCCACTATATATAGCAAGCTCTTTGTATCTTTCTAAAATACAAAAGTACAATGAGAATTTCTTTTATTCCTTCTATTCTCTCTACATTAACAAAGTCTATCATGGTATCTTGAGCGTTTTTTTTCTCGATCCATGGAGTCTCTTTTTCCTTCTTCTCAGGTGAAACTTTCTCACCTGATTTCTGTTAAACTTGACGACAAAAATTTTAAACAATGGAAGCAACAGATTGATGGCGTCGTGCGTGGTCACCGCCTTCAACGGTTCGTTACTGTTCCGGTGATTCCGTCACCATCTCCTTCAGATCCTGCATCTCACAGTGCCTTTCTGGAATGGGAGCAACAAGACGCTCTCATCTGTACCTGGCTTCTTTCTACCATCTCCGATTCTCTTCTTCCCGGACTTGTTGAGTGTAAACACGCGTGGCAAGTTTGGACGGAGATCCACCGTTACTTCGACACACTTCTCTCTACCAAAGCACGTCAGTTACGGTCTGAGCTTCGCCGTCTCACGAAGGGAACGCTCACGATTGAGGAGCTTATGAAGCGCACTCGTGAAATCAGTGAATCGCTAGTTTCGATTGGGGATCCTGTTCCTCTTCGTAACCTAATTGAAATCGTGCTTGATTCACTTCCTGAGGAATACGATTCTATTGTTGCCGCCGTCAACAGTAAAGATGAATTGAGCTCTTTGGATGAACTGGAGTCGTCCTTGCTTGCTCACGAGTCGCGTCTTGAGAAACATCGCAAAGCTGCGGTTGCGGAGCCGGCGACGGTGAATCTCACTCAGGCAGCATCGTCCCCTGCGCCAGTCGCCGCTGATCAAGTTGCTACTGAAGCGTTTCCTCAAGGAACAAGTCATGTCACTGCTAATGCTGAGAATCATACCTATGGCTCGCGTGGAGGTCGTTCTGGTCGTGGAGGCGGTCGTTTTGGTCGTGGTGGAGGCCGTTTTGGTAAACAGTCATGTCAGATTTGTCACAAATCTGGTCATGATGCTTCAGTATGCTATTATCGTTACTCCAATTCCAGTGGTGCTGGTTATTCTCAGCAGAGAGCTCCATTCAATCCATTCCTTGTGGCTCCACGTGCTATGTACCCTGTGCAGTTTGCGTATGCTTCACCCAGGGCTGCACCTCCAAGATCCTCTGCACCACAAGCACCACAAGCTTTTTATGCAGGTACTGAAACCAGCAGTAATAATCTATGGTGGTACCCTGATTCCGGAGCTTCTCATCATGTTACTCCTGAGGCCTCTAATGTGTCTGACTCTGCTTCTGTGCCTGGATCTGAGCAAGTCTTCATAGGAAACGGCCAAGGTTTGTCCATCAATTATGTTGGTTCTATGTCCTTTTCTTTACCACACAAACCTCACCTATCTCTCATTCTTAGTAATCTCTTACATGTCCCTCAAATTACCAAAAATCTCATGAGTGTGAGCAAATTTGCTCAAGATAATAATGTGTTTTTTGAATTTCATCCTACATTCTGTGTTGTCAAATCTCAGGCTACTTCTGAAGTGTTGCTCAGTGGTCGTGTTGGAGATGATGGCCTCTATAAATTTCCTAATCCTGCTGCATCTCCATTGTCCAAGTCTTGTCCCAGACTTCATACTTGTAGCTCTAGCAGTAGTTTATTTTGTTCCCTGCTATAAGCAGTTGTAATACTCCCCATTGTATGTCAAATCTTACACTTCCATGTAATGAATCCTTCAATAATAATACTACAAGTACTTTCCTCAATTCTTCTCTTAATTCTGCCACTGTTAGCACTGATTTACCCTTATCTCACTCTAATAGCTCAGCTGCTATAGCAACTAATAAATATGTTCTGTGGCATACCAGATTAGGCCACCCTAATCACCATGCTCTTGTTGAAATTTTCAAACTCTGTAAACTGGCTATTCCCTCTAAACCACCCACAGAAATGTGTCATGCTTGCTGTATTGGCAAGTCTCATAGATTGCCATCATCATTGTCTACCACGGTCTACACACATCCCTTTGAATTAGTGGTGTGTGATCTCTGGGGTCCAGCCCCTATGCAATCTTCAAGTGGCTACACTTACTTCCTAACTTGTGTAGATGCTTTTTCTAGGTTTGTTTGGGTCTTTCCTCTCAAACTCAAGTCTGACACTATGCTTCAGTTCCTTCAGTTTAAGAAAATGGTTGAACTGCAGTTCAATTGTTCCATTAAGTGTGTTCAAACTGTTCCATTAAGTGTGTTCAAACTGATGGGGGAGGAGAGTTTAGGCCTCTCACCAAGTATCTCACAAATTTAGGAATTGTTCATAGGTTCACTTGTCCTCATACACACCACCAAAATGGTCTTGTTGAACGCAAACATAGACACATTGTTGAGACTGGTCTCACCCTTCTTGCTCAATCCACTCTTCCTTTGAAGTTTTGGGATCATGCCTTTGTTACTGCAGCCTATCTCATTAACAGAATTCCCAGTCCTATCCTTAATAATACCTCCCCTTACTACAAATTACTCAACAAACCACCTGATTATTCCACTCTTAAGGTTTTTGGCTGTGCCTGTTATCCTTTCCTGCGCCCTTATAACACTCATAAGCTGGCCTATAGATCTCAACAATGCATCTTTCTTGGTTATTCCTCCTCTCACAAAGGCTACAAATGTCTTGCCTCTGATGGACATATCTACATCTCTAAGGATGTTGTGTTTCATGAAGCTTTGTTTCCTTATTCCTCCTTATTTCCCAATTCTTCCAAAACTTCAGTTCCTTCATTAGTGTCTTCCAGTGCTACATCTGTGCCTCCTTTTTCCATTCCCTCTGCTGCCAGTCAGTCTTCATCTTCCATTTCTCAGTCCTTATCTTCCAATTCTCCTTCCAATCATGCTGGCAGTCACAGTCCCACTCCTTGTTCTCCTCCTTCTAATACTTCTGGTTCTTCTCCTGAATCTTCTACTTCTGCCAGTCAGCAGATGGTCACTCCTGTTCCTCAGCCTCTCACTGCCATTCCTGCTCCCTCCTCTCCTTCTATCTCTCCTGCTCTAATCCTCACTGATCCAACTGAAACTAGTACCATCTCTCCTTCCTCCTCACACAATCTTTCTGAACCAGCTACTTCAAGCCCTAATCTCAGCCCTCCTACTTCATCTTTACCTTTCATTCACCCTCAAAACGTGCACCCTATGCAAACTAGAGCCAAAAGAGGTATCACTCTACCCAGACTTCATCCTACCCTCCTTTTAACCCACATGGCACCCACTTCTGTTGGTCAGGCCTTGGCTGCTCCTCATTGGTTTCAGGCAATGCAAGAAGAGTATCAGGCACTGATGAGAAATCAAACCTGGACATTGGTGAAAGCTCCTGATTGCAGGAAGCCTATTGGTTGTAAGTGGGTTTTCAGAACAAAGGAAAACCCTGATGGCTCCATAAACAGGTACAAGGCCAGATTAGTAGCTAAAGGATTCCATCAAAGGGTTGGCAGTGATTTCCAAGAGACTTTCTCACCTGTCATCAAACCTGTAACAGTCAGAATCATTTTAACCATTGTTGTTAGTAACAAATGGACAATCCAGCAAATTGATGTTAATAATGCTTTCCTCAATGGCACTCTTGAAGAGGAAGTGTTTATGCAGCAGCCTCCTGGTTTTGAAGCAGCTGACAAGTCACTGGTGTGTAAATTGAACAGGGCGATTTATGGTTTAAAGCAGGCTCCTGGGGCCTGGTTTGATAAATTGAAGAGTGCATTGGTTCAACTTGGTTTTCAAGCTAGCAGGTGTGATCCTAGTCTCTTTTTGCTGCATCAAGGCAAGCTTCAGGTCATGATTCTGGTGTATGTTGATGATATTATCATCACAGGCAGTTCAGCTCCCTTTATTACCTCATTAATCAAGCACCTCAACAACAAATTTTCACTGAAACAATTGGGACAGCTTGATTATTTTTTAGGTCTTGAAGTCTCTCATCTCTCTAATGGTTCTTTGCTTCTATCTCAAACCAAGTACATCTCTGATCTACTGACCAAACTTAATATGCTCAATGCTAATGGCATGCCCACTCCCATGGTTTCCAGCAGCAAATTATCCAAAGTTGGCTCAGCTGCTGTGGAAGACCCAACTCACTTTAGGTCAGTTGTTGGTGCCTTGCAATATGCCACTTTAACTAGGCCTGAGATCTCCTTTTCTGTCAACAAAGTTTGTCAGTTTCTATCCAATCCTTTAGAGGATCATTGGAAGGCAGTCAAGAGGATTTTGAGGTACTTAAGTGGCACTCTGCATCATGGTTTACTCATTCAACCTGCCCCTGTCCAGTAGCCTATGCAATTATTAGGATTCTGTGATGCAGATTGGGCATCAGATCCTGATGACAGGAGGTCCACTTCAGGGGCCTGTATCTATCTTGGTCCAAATGTTGTTTCCTGGTGGTCCAAGAAGCAACAACTTGTTGCTAGATCCAGTGCTGAAGCAGAGTACCGCAGCATGGCTCAATTGGCTGCTGAGCTCATTTGGATTCAGTCTTTACTTCAGGAACTTCACTGCTCCTGTCAGGTGCCTAGGATCCTGTGTGATAACTTGAGCACTGTCACTCTTGCTCATAATCCTATCCTACACAACAGAACCAAGCATATGGAACTAGATATATTTTTTCTGAGAGAGAAGGTTCTCAGCAAACACCTCTCTGTGGTTCATGTTCCAGCACATGATCAGTGGGCTGACATTCTCACTAAACCCTTATCTGCTGCCAAATTTGTACCTCTGCGTTCTAAGTTGCGTGTGTTAGACAAAATTGCTTTGAAACACCCACCAGCAGATTCTAAGGGGGACTAATAGAGTAGTGGTATAATGTAGTGAAATAAGTGTGACTATTTCAGTAGTGGATAGAGTAGTGGAATATGTGTGTGTTCTATTATTGCTGAGCTGGCAGCTTGTTTGTCACAGTTTGTTAGACTTGCTCCACTATATATAGCAAGCTCTTTGTATCTTTCTAAAATACAAAAGTACAATGAGAATTTCTTTTATTCCTTCTATTCTCTCTACATTAACAAAGTCTATCATATTGGAAGTGCTAGCGCTAGTGAAGGGAAGCCTTAGCACAACAGCGGAAGTTGCTGCCATGTGACATGGTCATAGATCAGTCTCCAGCAAATGCAAGGTAATGAAGCCTAAAATAGACCCGCAATTGGTTCAACCCTTCCCTGAACCCTATGGAGGGAACTTTATAGCACCATGTTGTCCGTTTTTTGGTTTAACACTGCTATTGAGGAAGAGCTATTAGTATTCTCTCTTCTTTTTACTCTTCCTTTTTTCATTTTGAAAAGTCTTCGGAGGTTATATGCTGTTAGACTTCTTCTAATGACAGTTATGGGCGATTATGCGAAGACATCATGGCAGTTATATTATTTAATTTTAGGAATAAATAGGGAAAGGATAGGAGAAACTGATTATGGGACAATTTTTGAATGGTGTTTGGAGGGAGAGACCAAGCTCTCGAATTCTTGGAGGGAGAGACCACAGAGACCACGACTCTTGAATTTCTTGGATAGGAAGTGTCTTTTAATAGTATAATAATTATTTGTTTAGTTTATGTGTGAGCCAAGTGTATGTTGTAATTATGTGTATTTGTAAGCACGTGTTTTCGTAAATAAAAGTCAGTTTTTACTATTAATTTGTACTTCGGTACCGGTTTCTATCATTTGCTTGTATGTAAAAAAAATATAGAGTAATAAGGAAGTAAGAAAAACTGGTTTCTGCAGATCCATTAATCAAGAAAGAGAATAGTTCGGTCAAATCACATTTCATACAATAACAGGAAAACAGAAGGAACAAATTATATATATGAAAAAGGAGGGACCCATATAATTCAGAGTGTTTGTATGGAATATCAATGCCTCAAATTATAAGCTAAAGTAATATTACAAAGGAGAGACAATAATAAAGAAAACCATATTAAAATATAGGGGTATATAGAGTAAAACTGCAAAAGAATAAACAAATACTAGAGTGATGTTTCTGATATGCTTATATACAAGAATATTATAAGGGCTTCAATAAGTTTAAAGTCCTTACATGTAATTATATTTCTCAATAACTTTTCAACTATTTGCAATTTAATATACTACAGTCCTAAATGAGCAGTAAAAGGTATAGTACCAAAAATGGTGCCTTAACTTGATTCTAGCTTCAATGAACATACTATAATATAGGAGATTCAACGATACAAAAATTATAACATGTTATATAAAGCAAAAAAAAACACCGGCACATAACTAATATGGTCCAGAACAGACCTGCCTTTTTCCCCTTACACCAAGATGTGGAGTAGCTAAAGTAATAAAACTGATTGGCTCCAACCCAGCAATCATCCCTCCTTTCGAAAAGCTTGAGCTTTGGGAATTTCCTTCCGTGCTGTGTGCAAGATCATCGGGTTGGTCCCTATTATAGGAATCACGTGAATAGAGGACAGAAATTGCATATCTAGCAAACAAGCCTCCTAAAGAATGGGCCAGAAAGGAGATTCTTTTTAGACTTTCTGTTTTTCTGACAACTTGCAAAACCTGTTTTAATAAAAGGAAATAAACATACATGAAACAACTCAGAAGAAACTCCAAGTTATTAAAACTGAAATTGGGTGTCCAAACATTGGACACAAAAATCTGCATATCTCATGACTCACTTCATCGGCTAATCGCTTTCCAGCTCCATCAATCCCAGTAAAGGTCTTGGTATAAGTATTTGATGAACTTACTGCAGAGATCAAATAATTCTTAAGGACTTCAGCCAGACAAGTAACTATGTTCATGGAAGAGGAACTTAAGTGATTCAAAAGAAAAGTTTCACAGCTCTAAGACAAATAGTGTTATTTTGAACAGCTTAGGATCACTACTTTCCAAGCAAGACTACAAATAGACTTTCTAATGCATTAACTCAGAAGAAGAAAAAGTTTGAAAAAAGGAAGAAGATTTAGCACAAGAGCGAGAGTTTGATTTTGCAAGCCAAATCATAACTTAAACTACCAGAAAAATTTGAATTACTGACAGAAATTAAAGACAAAAAAAATGAAATTCAGTTCTAACTCCACTAAATGTTACAGATGCACATATCTTTTTATCAAACTCCCGTCGGTATATGCCCTTACATGGATGCTTTACAAGAGACAAAAAAAAAAACTAACATAGAGAACCACAAGTGAAATACGTACTAACCAAAAATTAGAAAGTTCTTTCCAAGGCGCCTTTTCAACTCTGCTTCTGCATAAGTCCAGTCCGCAGTGCTGTATCAGTAAAAGTCTTAGTACAGCTTTGTACAAGACTAAGCAATAGAACAACAATCAAATGACCAACAGAAATAAGTGGATGTATGTATGGCACATATCCATTGCCCCAAAATTTAACTTTTATCGCTTTCATGTACTAAATTGTGAGCTTAAAAATTACTTTTATAAAAAGAATCAGATTTTTGATTGACATGTAAACTGGAAAGGGAACCAACTATTCATAAACTGGGTGAAAACCATAATTCTTTCCAGTTAAACATCAATATGAACATAGTAACTACTTGTAAAAGTGTTATGCATACTAATTCCATCTTTCAGTTCAGCCCCGATTGAATACAACAATTTGAGCAATTTATTATTTTCTAAATTTAAATATAAATATACCTAGCCAAGATACCATGAACAAGAACAAGGAGATGATCTGGGTCATTCCTAGAATTTCCCATGCTGGAAATAGAGTTTCCATTAGTGGTAGCACTCATAGCTTGAGCTCTTAGGCCCTGGTGTCTCTGTCCACTGTTTGTACCTGCCAAAGTTCATTAGCCAGCTTTAATGAAAGCTAAATGCTATTCATACTTGCATTAATATTAAGATGGGTCATTCACTTGTTATCATAATTGGATTAATAGACTAGTCGTTACTAGGCTTGGGCTAATACTAGCATAGAAAAATGATTGACAAATACTGAGGATGGATAAAGCAAGCCAAGGAGGCCATAAAAGGAAAAATCATAAATCGAATTGTATCGAAAATTTCAATAATCGCAAGTGAAAACAGCAAGACAAAACAAGAAAAAGCGTATCAAGAGAAAGGAAAAAAAGTTACCAGAAGATAAATTGAAACCAGAATTGGAGGCTGAAGAAGACGACGAAGAAGAAGAAGAAGCGATAGGGGTTTGTTGTGAGCCACTCTTGTTGATGAAATTGGAGATTCGAGACGAGTAAGAACAGCGCGCGTGAATGAACGGAGCCGTTGCCATGATGTATATATATAGACAGTTGCAAATCCTGAAATCTCTCTTTTGAAGGAAAAGTGTCACAGCAAAACGCCACAAGTTAAAAGTTGCTTATAAGTTATAATCGATTAAAAACTTTGCAGTTTAGAAGTCACATTCCGTATATGATAACCAAAACAAAAGTGATTTGTATATTATTCTTCAGCGTTTATTCATCGGAACGACGCAATTGCGATGTTATTGATGGATGGCAATAGACGACACGCAAAGCACATTAAATAGTGATGTAAGCACGCGCCAAACCCATAATATTCTTTACTTTCATAGGCTGCCATATTAAATATTTATTTATAAATTTTAAATTTATATTTCAATTAATTAATATTCAAATAATTATAAAATGTAGACTAATAATATACATCAATTTTTAAACATTGCTTCATACTTATAATAAGTCGTATAATCGATTTTGTAAAAGATAGATATTAAAATAAAGAGTCTACCGTTTGTATCTCATAAATATATTTTCATCTACATGTGAATCTATTTCATGTATTCAGTTGATTAACATTCATAGTTATAATATATAATTATTTATCAAATTTGAATGTCTCGTTTATAAAAATAATTGTAACTTATTTTCATTTATAAAAATAATTGTTTCAATACGTAGATTTTTTATAATTGTTCATTTATAAAAAATATTTGAAATTTATTCTCGTTTATAAAAATAATTGTATCAATAGTTGAATTTTTCCCGTTTATAAAAGTATTTGTAATTTATTCTTATTTATAAAAATTATTGTAACTCATTTTCATTTTTAAAATTAATTATGTTAATAGGTAGACTTTATTACATTTATAAGTGTCTTTAAATCGTGTGATAGTTTTATAAAAATATTTTAACTTATTCATGTTAAAACCAATTGCATCAATAGTTGGATTTTTTTCCATTTATAAAAATATTTGTAACTTGTTCCTATTTATAAAAATTATTGTAATTTATTTTTGTTTTTACAAATAATTATATCAATATGTATAATTTTTCTCGTTTATAAGTGCTTTGAACTCGTGTGTCTATTTATAAAAATATATGTAACTTATTCTCATTCATATTATAAATGATTGAATTTATTACGTTTATAAAATTATTTGTAATTTATTCTTGTTTATAAAACAATTGTAACGTATTCAATTTATAAAAATAATTGTATCAATAAATTTTTATCTTTTATCATTAATTTTTTTATGATTATCATTTACCATTAAATTTTCATGACTACAATTATGATTATATTTTTTATCATGATTACAATTATGAAATTAATTTGAATAAATTCATATATGTTTTAGTTATTTTATAAGTTAAAAAAAAATTACAAAATCTCAATTGATTTTGTTTTGTTTTATTAACATTTCTATAAAAATCTAAATAATTTTAAAATATATTTTATTTCAAATAAGGGTCTAAATAATTAAAAAAAAAATATTTTTATTCTTATATTTTTAGAATGATAAACTAAATATTTAACCTTGAAATTAAAAAATTATAATATATAATAAGAAGGGTAAATGTAATTTTTTCAAATACTTTAATCCTTATGTTTAAGATTTCTTAAAAATACGTGATTCTTACTAATATTTCATAAAAATACACGATTTTTAATATTTTTTAGTAACAAAATGTTATTTAAACTATAATAATAATTACTGATCTGACCTGATCAGAAATGGACCGTCACGGCTGGCTCCGAGCATAAAGCTTTTTTGAACGGGGGGGGGGGGGGGGGGGGGGGGGGGGGTACCTGCAAGGCACTCCGATGCTGAAGTAAGTAGGAGTACGAGCAGATAATAGTAAGTTGAGGTTAGAATGATGAATACCTGACCCTCTGGAAACAGAGGGTATTTATAGCCCCCAGCGCTGGGCCAAGGTCCCTTCATTGGGCCGGGCGGATTTGGCCCAATGGAGGAACTGTCAGGTTCTACGTGGGTAGTGGGGACCCGCACGTGGTCCCCTTCCTGGATGTGCTGCGTGAAGTGCGGGAGGACGAAGACGCGGTCTTTCCGGAGTATCGTTGGGGGAACGGTGGACTGAGTCTGCCCTAGTTGGGATGCTCGAGACAACGTCGAGCTGGACAGCAGGGTGTCGAGCTGGACGTCAGGACGTGGAGCTGGACGGCAGGGTGTCGAACTGGACGTCAGGAGGTGGAGCTGGACGTCAGGAGGTGGAGCTGGACAGCGAGATGTCGAGCTGGACGTCAGGATGTCGGGCACGGATGTGACCCCTTTGCTCGGCGTGGTCCTCAGTAAGTCCCTTTGGATTGGGCCTTAGTAATGCTTTTGGGCCTGTCGGGCCCAGTCCAGAACAGGAGCCCCCCAAGTCGTGGTTCCTTTGCGAGGAGCCATGACTTGAGCCCAAGTTATTCCCTCGTTGAGGTCTCGTGCCCGGGATAGAGGTGTGGGCCCTCGAGGGGCCTCCCCGTGTCGTGCTCGAAGACTTCCTCGGTAGTGGGTGCGCGGAGGATCCTTACCGGGCATGTTGGTCGAGCACACGAGGTATCTTTCGGGAACTGTGCCGCCACCCTATGGGGGTAGGGCCATCATTGCGTTGGGAGCAGCGCGTCGAGGAGATGGAGTCCGTGGTTGCCCGAGGTGACGTTTGGTATTCCACGTCATCACTATAAATAGGAACCTTGGGCCCCATAATACGTTTTCTGCTCTCTGTGCTCTCTCTGCTGCTGCTCTTCCAGACTTTCTCCAATTGCGACTTCTCGTCACAGATTCTTCCATTTCGTAGCCAGATCCCACTCTCTGATCCAAGTAAGTGATCTACCTTCTTCATTTTTCCGTTTAGAATGCATGATTTTTGGCGTTTGTAGATGTTTTAGGACCGTGCGCGTGGGATTAGCCCGGTAAACTCGTGCTTAGCCCGACACATTCATGTCTAGGACCGGCAGACGCATGTTTGTGGCCGGCACGTTCATAGTTTAGGTGATAAACTTCAGAGTTGCCCGGGGTATTCATTATCCAGGGCGCCTGATTCATGATCGCGCCCGGTATGTTCATGGTCTTGGCCGTGGGCTTCATGGTGCGGCTCGCCATGTTCATACCTCGGGTCGACATGCTTGCAGAGTGGCCGCGCAGTTGGTTTGAGGAAGAACACCGGGTTCAGGACGTCGGGGAGGCAACCATTCGTGGAAAATGGACTTATGTAGTCGTGTATGGGTCGACATGATTTTGTCGAGCGTAGGACTTCGTGCTCAACTGACTGGTTTCCCGTGCTCTGCAGGTAACCATGGCGGACGAGCCGAGCTCTTCCGGACGCCGCGACCGTGACGAACAGAGTGCCGACGAGTCGGTCACCCTGATTGATACCGTGACCGACCCATTGCTGGAATGGGTGGGTGTCGAGCCGCGGGGAATAGCGTCGGTATATAGTCGGGATGACCGACATCCATTCACTGTCATTGAAGAGGGTCAAGACCAGCCCGGCTTCCAACAAAACTTCGTAGTCATGATTCCGTCAACCGGTGCAAGGATTTGCTCGGTCTATCCGAATTACAGCCTCGCGATGTATGAGATCGCGTTTAAAGACCTAGGGCTGCGGCTGCCGTTCACTGATTTTCAGCCCGGGGTCTTTATGCACTTGGAGCTGGCCCCGTCCCAGCTACACCCAAACTCTCTCGCCTTCATCCGGGCGTTCGAGTTGACGTGTCGCTACCTGAGGATCGGGGCGACCATCCCTCTTTTCTTCCGGGTATTTCACCTGCAGCGTCAGTCCCGAGGAGGGAAACATAGCTGGGTCTCCCTGAAGCAGTCGAGGAGGCTTTTTAAGATGTATATGGACTCCGTGAGGGGGTTTAAAGACAAGTGGTACGTGGTACGTCCAATTACCGATGCTGCTTTAGATTCCCTTTTCGAGGAGGAGGGGCCAGTGAGCGACGATGATGGGGAAACGATGATAAGCGACGATGGGAGCTCTGTGTTGGGTCGTAGGGCTAAAATCCCGGTGTACTGGGTGTCCCGACACTACGAGCATGGGACCGGTTATTACCATACCGCCGTCGGGGACATGTGCTCGGAAGATGAGCGGGCGTACGACGCTCTTTGCTGGTTTGTCGACAGTTTCCATCCCGCCCGATGGGTTACGCGGGAAGGGGATGATATCCTGGACAAAGATGGTTACCCGACGTTCGAGTCCCGTCCGATCGACACCAAGGCGCTGGTGGAGTGTCCGACTTACAGGCAGGCTGCCCGCCTGTTAGGTTGTTTGCTTGAAATTCTTTACTCGTCATTTACTCATGAAGTTTGCTCGATACTGACTTTTCCTTTATTTCGTGCAGGTACGATGGCTAGCCGACATGAAAGGCTCTTGAAATTATCCTGCGACCAGAGGCGGGGCAGGAGGGTCGTGAAGGCCCCACAGGCGACGAGGATGGGTCCCCCACCTGGTCCAAATGTTCCTCAGCCGGTGAGGGTGGACTCGTCGTCGAGCTCGGGACCCGCGTCGGATCCAGAGGTCGAGGAGATCGACCCCAGTGCCGTTTTGACGCAGAGGAAGAGGACCCGTATGGAAGGTGGTCCGACTGTCGGCGAGGACGTCGGCGCTGTTAGATCTTTCGCCTTCCCCCCTTGTTTTGAAGAGGCGGGATTTTTCGAGCGATTCCCCCCGACAGTGGTTGCCCATGAAGCTGAGGCCATAAAAAAGATGAGTAAAGAGGAAAGGAAGGCGTATCTGGCCGCCAGCGTGGATGGGTTGGTAAAAATGGCCGAAATGGCTTTGGTGTTATCTGAGGATGGAGGGGATGCTGCCCGTGTTGAAGAACTCGAGCAGGAGAAGGCGGCGCTGACCGCGAGCTCGCGGAAATTGAAGGTCGCTCTGGAACGCTCCGAGGGGATGTTCCGAGAGCAGACCGCGATGCTCGATGCTGAGAGGGAGATGTTGACCCTGGAGAAGGAGAAATCGGGGAAGTTGACTGAGGAAGGGGAGCTTCTTCTGGCGGACAGGGATCGTCTGGCGGCCG